GAGACAAACACAACAGCTTTCTTTATAATTACAAACTTGCCACCTTAATAGCTGGGTTGACTTTGCAAAATAAAATGCAAATTGAGAACTGACTTCTCTCATTATACTGCTGATGAAGCTAGCAATGGTTTCAGGAATTTACTTGACAGAATAAAACTACTGAAAGTTGCCTATTTTAAAAATGATACAGTTTTTTTGATGCATGTATATATAGCACTTCTAATCACATTGCTTTTTAAAATTGGCTGCTGATGACTTGAACAATCCAAGGCTCTTTAATAAGTAAAAATAAAAATTCATCTCCCTGAGCTGTAACTAGTTTTGGTCCATAACAAATTTTTATGGCTGGGTAGTAAAATTCTTGAAAAACAAGATTCATAAGGGAAGTGCTGACATCGGCTTCAGCTGCTATACAGAAGTGTGAATGGCGCCGCTATAATATCTATTAGGGTTTCTTTAAAAGTTCAGAGAGGAAAATTCTGACTTGCTTTGCATGAGAAAAAGAAAAGAAACTAGAGCACATTTGCGCCAACATAAACATGCATTTAACCCATTATATACTGATTTACAGGAAAGCCCTTAATTCTGAATAAGCATTGTGGAACCCAGCACCAACAGGAAATGTTAGTCTAAAGTCCTGTTTTGTTTCTAACATGTTCTTAATCACTTCCATGAAGCACACACAGAGGTTAGAAAGTCAGAAATGGAAAGGAGGGAATCAGATGTGATTATGTGAGAAAAATACAGCCAGAGGACAAGGAGGAAAGTATACGAAAGAAGATTTCCATTTCCATCCATGTTTTCTGATATTTCACATTCTGAGGCTACAATCCTATTGACACCTGGGAAAGAGTTCCAGTTCCACTCAGTTTCATATAAACTCAGGACTTTCGTCCAATTATTCCCAAAGTATAGAGGCAAATATTTCTGGAATGTTCCAGAAATGTCAACTTGGAGCCAACCATTTTGTATTGGTCCACTTTTTCCACAACAGGGGATAGGCCCTGATAACAGGGTGAGCTCTGAAACCCAGTTCTGTTCTAGCAAACCTGTAGTTATTTCATTAGAAACTGCAGTTAATGCAGCTTTAGTATTTTATCTGTCCCTTCTCAATAGCAGAAGGCTTTTTCTCTGCAGATGGTGTCAGTTTCTATTCCCCTTGTTTTCCCTCTGCTCCTAAGATATTAACACTCTTGCAAAGTGCTATCATATCTGAGTCAACTACCATACTTCCTTTTGAATTCTGTGGTCTGACTGTCTCAAAAATTGTTGATACCAAAGAAACCCCAACACAGCTACCATTTGCCCAGGAGCTGGCTTGACGAGACAAGAAGAGGAGCCAGTGGCAACACGAAGCACTTCCACTAGACTAAACTATAACAAAGAAATAGATGATGTTAGTTATGGCTCTTCGTCAAATACAACAACAAAAGTATACAATGGGCTCACTTGCAAGGATGTGAGAAACTAAAATAAACATATATCTTTCAGGAGTGTATTTAGTTTGGCTTTTTAAAGAATTCATGCATTCTCTGCAACGTCGCCTTCTAGAGATTCCCGAATTAGGATCACTTTTATGTGGCACTGGGAAGAAACATGACACAAATCTCAACCAAAACTAAACAACTAATGCAGCATTCAACAACATTGCTCTTTCTTTTTCTAAGCCTGCTTGCTTAGCCTCCTGATAACAAAGCAGGCACTCAGGTCGGAAGTCTCTGTTAAAGTGCAGATGTATGGACTTCACTAGTAACAGTTACTACCGCCAAAGACACAAATCTGCCTTGTAGCAGTTCAGAGAATTTGCCCATTGAAACTATTCTGACTGCCGGTAACTCACTATAGTATCAAGTAGAGGGCCTATGAACTGCCTGCACCTGAACCTCATCATGCAGATGCTATGGAGGCCTTCCATACTCAAGGAACATGCTCTACCTTTGATCTAGGTCAGTCCATCCTCTCTCTCCAATGAGCCCTGAGATCACCCAAAAGCACTGGCTTGATGTCCAAGTATTCTGGCCTGCCTGTCCATTAAGCTGAGGGAGGCAAGGACTTCAGGCAGTAGATGCTGACAAGCGTGAGGGAGCAGTCTCCCAATTTTACCTCATAAGACCTCTGGTTCTTCAAGAATGGTGCTTTGCATGGCACCGTGCCTATTATCCACTGAAAATGTTTAGTCCTCGATGTTATGATCCTAAGCACCTGTATTTAGTCCCACTGAAGCCATGAACTTATTATTTCTCACACCTGTATCAAGCATTTCCCCCAAAATAGTCCTCTACTCTATTTTATCTCCCTAACCCTGCGAGATAGGTAGAGCAGTTCACTGACGATTTCAAGATTACCTAGTGAGTTTCATGGGAAAATGTTTATTTTTTAAATCTAGGCCTCTCCCATCCAATCTGATCACTATACCATAATGAGTAAAATGGAAATTTATGTCTTAACAAATAAAAATGCATAATGTTGCATTCCTGAAATCACTATTTTGGTTGCAATCCTAAGTACCTGTACCAGGAGCAAAGGGAATTGCAACTGATTGTGAGCAGTCTTCCAAGTAAAATATTTGAATCAACTCAAATGTCTAAATTTTTTTGGCATAAAGCAATAAAGGTCTGCAAAAGGCCACAGGCCACCCAATACCAACATTAAAGGAAGACTGAAAAATCATGATTTCCTAGAGTGGAAAAATGAGCAACAGCATTGTGTACTAGTACAGTCGGTCTCCTTTAGCACCCATCGGCCAGAATCCTCTGGGTGTTCACAAAACTTTCATGTAATCTTATGTGACTCGCTACAACTAATTGATGCAATGAATTACAGCAACTTGATGCTGAGGTACATCTCAGCTGGCACATGACAAGGCACACAACTGAGACAGACCCAAACACCTTGGTAATGAACCATAATTAAACACAGCAAATCAGCAAAACCTATGGAACCACCAATAGGATTCTGGCCAGTATACAATTAACATTTGTAAAACTTAATTTTTAAAAAAATCACATGAATTTAATGTATTTCTCTCTGAAATTGATAAAAGCAAGGTAGAAAAATGAAAAATAATCAGATAAAAATATCATACTATCAGATACCCAATAACAATGTCCTATATCATGACAGAATGTTATTCTCTTCTATTATTTCCTGCAAACCTCCATACCCCCTGAAAACGAGCCCTAAAGAGTCCACAACTCCAGGGTGTCTCCCAAGCTAGAATGGGTGAGCACTCCCCCTTTAAGTTTTGTTTATGCAAGCAATTCTAGCAGCAGAACAACACAGTTGGAACCTGGGCACAATTGTATTTAAAACCATAAGAACAATGTTTAAAGTTATGTTTTTAAAACAATCCCTAATAAAAGCCAACTCATACCTATTATTTACTTACCTTCCTTCACCTCTTGCTTCTTTTCTTGAGTTTCTATCTCAGAGTCATTCTGGGCCTTTGGTTCAATCAACTCCTCATCTTCCTCATCCTCTAGAGGGAAAAAATACAAGAACAATTTGTAATGATTTTATTTCAGAGCATGGCTATGTGTTCATCAAAACCATTCAGGCAACAGTCGACCAATGACATGCAAACTTGGGAACACCAAATATTGCTGTGGAGAAAATGTACAGCGGAAAATTGAGATAGTATTTAGAAGTTAGTATTTGATTATGTATTTATCTGTATCCATTAGCATTATTTTGTGCTATTCCTCCATATTTTCCCCCTTTTTACGCAAACTCAGGTGAAAGAAACCAGAATCTTTGTGAATTCTGATACTGAACTGCTTGTTCCAAGACTGTACATTAATTATCCCCTGGTTTTCTTGTTTCTTGAATATTGAGACATTTCCTACTGTGTGAAAATCTGTCAAAATACATCTTAATTCACAATTTTAAGGAAAAATATAGCTGTAAATGTGTGTTTTATGGGAAAACACTAACTGAAATCTAAAAAGCAATTTGTAAATATGTGGTTCTGTGGCTCGTTATTCAAAACAAAGTTAATTTAAAAAGTTCTGCTTAGGCTCTAAGCCTACAGATAGATACTTAAGAATAAACTCTACTATTGTACAATCTGTTTCTAAATAAATGTGTACAAAATTGGTCTGTTCATTCTCCTAGGTGCATAATATCTAGAGTTTTTGCAAACATAATTGTGGACTTGCTAATCTGTTTCTAAATAAATGTGTACAAAATCGGCCTGTTAGGTGCATGATATCTAGAGTTTCTGCGAACATGATTGTGGACTTGCAGGATTTTTTGCCCACCAAGTCCCAGGGAACAGCTGGCAAATGTCCTAAATCAGGAACAGGACAGTTTCCTAATTCCTAAATGAATCACCTGCTCCCTTCTATTCCCTCCAGCGATCTTGCATCTCACAGTCTTAAGTCTGACGTTTTTTGTCTCCAGAGGCTTCTTTGTGGGCAGCCACAGGAACAGAAAACTAAGGCACACATATTTCAGCCTGGCAGCTATGTTACTAATGGGACACCTGTTATTCAAACACCTCATTTCCAATTCAATTCTCACCAGCTTAATTTGTCTTTTTGACCTACAAGGAGGGGTTAAATAGAATCCTGACCCAAGGTCAGATGCCACTGGCAAGTAAACAGGCATAGCTACAGTTCTAAGGAGGCGTCACCACTCAGCTTGAGAACACAGCACCCAGGGAAGGGCATTTGGAGCTTAAGAACAGTTTGGCATTAATATGAATTTAATGAGCACTGAAAATTGACACATGTCAGCTACTACTAACAGATGTTTTACTGCCCCTCCTTGACCTATGCAAATCTTTCTTCTACCCCTTTTCCTTTTTCAACCCCACTCACATATTCCTTCTTTTCCTGTTTCATATTTTGCTGTACTTGCCTTAAGCTACACAGATTTCGACCATCCAGCCCACATCCAACACACAGACCCTCACAAAGAAGACCATCTAAAATAAGAAAAAAGCTGCAAACATTGAATCAGCCCCATGATAAGTACCCACAGATTTCTCCAAACACTCATTTGGAAGGAGAATAGGATTGCAGGTCAGTAGCAGAGCGTATGCTTTGCAAATCTAAGATAACCCGGTTCATTCTGCCATCTAATAGCATTTCCAGTACATCTGGCAAGAAGGGAGGGGTTCTCTGACTAAATGTGAAGAGCTGCTGTCTGTCAAGAGCAAAGAATATTGGTCTAGACGGGTGAAGGATGAGATTCAATATCATACAACTTCAAATATTCATTTAATTTCATGTATTTCTGAGCTTTGATTCATAAGGCATTCATCCATGTATGGCACAGACAGCTATAAAAACTCACGTTAGGAAAAAAAAGCCATTCTGATCCAGGAAAGAGTGGAGAATAGATTTTAAATTTCACAGCCAAGCAACACATTTACTAGGACCAATTACAATCTTTTATTTTATTTCTTTGATTTATGTACCACCCCATTAATACCGTTGAGTTCTCTGTTTTCTCATGTCAAGACTATTATGGTCATCTGCATTGTTCTAATTTGTTAAAGGTCTAAAATATATAAAGTTTTCTGTACACAAATCATTTCTCTCTTGTGAGGGGAAATCCATGGAGATCACAAATGAATCATATTCATACACACTGGGAATAGACCTCCTTTTAAAACCGGATTCTGAGTCATTACCGGAGTCTCCCCTATCTGCATATACTATCAATCAATTGCTTTTAAGTACTTCTTAATACATTTCTTTGCAAAATGAGGAAGGTCCCTGGTGGCCAGAACAATGCTTCTATTTAAACGATACAGTAGACATCTTTCTTAAGTAACCTGTCTGTTGTACACTTCAAAGGGATGGATTTATAACCACCATTTCATCTATAAATGATGGAATTTTCTTCATTTATGACTTTCCAAATCACCAACAACCCTCAGAAACATCAACTTATTTTAGTACAGTTCATTATTAATGTGCATTTCAGTCATATACACCTGAAGACGTAACTATTACCTTTGTACATTTCACAGAACTCACACAATTCTTAACTTGGAACCCACTAACAAAACTCAGAAAAGACTAAACAGTTTATATATCAACCGTTTGTCAGGGATGGGGCTCAAGCATTAGGATCCATGAGTCCAGGTTCAAAAATCAAGACCATTACACTATGATAAAAACCTAAGACTAAAAGGAACATTATGCTCATATATATTATTTCTTTCAAAGTATTATCCTATTTCTAAATCTATGTACATACACAGTTATTTACAAACAGTTATCCTGCTTTCCAGCTTCACAGTATTATTTAAGATCTGAAAGGATCTGGGGAAAGCAATATTAGAACAGAACGAGCAAAATTTTGAAAAGTGAGCTGAAGATCCTCTAGAATAAATACAAATTTGGCAGAAACGCTTAGGACATTTCATTTGCATGCATGAGAATGGGAGGGAGGGAGGGAGAGGAGAGAAATGTGTCTCTTGTTTCAAGAAGATGAAATACACATTGTCCTCAAAGTGTGACCTGATTCTGAGTCAATGAGTTACACTACAGAAGGAAAACAAGAACATCTTAAGTCAAGAAAAATTTATCCTTCATTATCATAATTGCATCCATCTTATGGATGTCTACAAAACAGTTTACTTCCTCCTTCTGGAGGTATACTTTCCACGGGCCACAGTGATTACCAACCTAATCGGGGAGGCATTCTCACAGAGACATATGGTTTTAGTTTTTAATGCAGCTAGCACTGTTGCTGTTCAGCCAGTTTACTAAGCAGCTAAATATTCACCTAAGATTAATGTAAACCAGACCCCCCTCATTGCTGATATATGCACTACCCGTTCAACAGCTATGACCTCCATTGCTCCCTGGAGTACAAGATTGACACCTCCATGGATTTGCACCTCTGAAGCTAGTTAAGAGAACATAACTCCTGCATATGGTTTTATGTAACAAGGGCCATGTTTTAATTCTATGAAACTGAAAATAATCCAGCGATTAATAACCCATTTGGACAACAACAGCATATTGGAATCTAGAAACAAATGGTGTGTCTTAGTTTATGAATTAGGGCTCTGTTTGCTGGATTAGCATATATGTATTCAGCTACACGCACAACTCGGAGCAAGTGAACTGGGGAAAAACAGTTACGGTAAGTGTGGCAAAATCAACTGAGTGTTGCTTTTGGATGAGATGGAAGGATATATCAGCTCCTTAACTTCTATAAAATTAAGCTTCTTCTGGGAAAGATCTGCATGTCCCACACAATGTTTTTGTTTTATTTTGAGGTTGGAGAAGCCCCTTTGGGGGATTAAAACTCCCAGAATTCTCAGCAAGGATGGCCACGGAAAAACCACCAAGAAACAAATAAAAATCCAACAAGTGATGAACTCTGTGATTATTAATCAGAAAGGCTTCCTACTTACTGCTCTGCAGTTGCCTCTCTAACGGTTCTACCTACTGTTTCATTTCTCTCGTAATATCCATCATCGCCTTTGCTTAGTGCCTATCCCACAATGGTAAGATGCAGAATATTTTTCCAGAAATAAAGTATATCTACATATAAAGTTGTAAGATGCAGAATATTTTTCCAGAAATAACGTATATCTACATATAAAGTTATTAATTTGCCCTGTTTCTTTGAGTGACCCATTTATTTGCTTAACACAATATTTGGAGTATCTCGATGCAAAGCACTTAAAAACCTACCTCCAAACAGTTTAGTGAAAACTTTGCTACATATTTTTCTCCTGTCAAGACTTTCACAAGTTAATTTTGCTTCCTGTTACTCTGCATTAGCCTCTCAAAAAGTTACCATACATGCTATTTCTGGCTTGTGTATTCATAGGCCTCCTGGTGTAGTATTTCTCATTACCATCTTCTGGGGTTTTTTAGCTTCACCGCTGAGCACTGATTTTGTGTTTGCAGTCCGTGTTGTTTTCATTGCACTCAGCCGCTGCCCTAGAAAGCCAGGTCTTATTTTTCCATTTTGTGACAAATGATGGAGTCTTGCAGCCAAATGGCAAGGAACTGCCTCTGAATGTTTTGTTTATGATTTTTCTTCTGGCATCGCACAACGCCCTGGAACTGGCTAAACCATCTTCACTACAGTCCAGTCTACACACTGTTGTCTTGCCTCCACTATTAAGAGTCAGTAATCTTTCAATACAATTTGTTTCCTACTAATTAAAAGTGGAGAGCATCCGTCTGATCTTAAAAAAAACCTCATTTTACTTGGCCAAAATACATGTTTCTTGGTTAAAGCAAACGTATCAGAATTCATCATCCTTTGGTCAAGACTAGCCTGGCCCCTTCTGATTAAAATGCTTAAAAACATTCATGAAACCTCTTTTAAAAATTACAAAGAAACAAGGCAGGGATTTTTACTCCATGAAGACAAAAAAGTTATATTGGTTTGTAATTCATGCACGTTGACTAGGAGTTAATCCATGACATAATTTGTGCCAGGTACAGTCACTCCTCAACAAACTTACAGGGATCTGTCCCCTGGTATACTGTCATTTGG